TAAAGTCTACAAATGTAGACTTCGTATGAAGTCTACAAATGTAGACTTCGTATGAAGTCTATATTTTAGGTTACTTTTGCAATTGCCAAAAGATGAGTAGACTCACTCCGAGAATTCTACTCGAGAAGTCTACGTAAAAAAGGTTAGTTTTGCAATTGACCAAACTTTGACTTTTTCGTAAGAAGTCTACTTGCAAAAGTAGACTTCTTCGGAGAAGTCTACTTTTAAAGTAGACTTCTTAGAAGTTAGTTTTGCAATTGATCAATGTTGACTTTTCAAAGTAGACTTCGTTTGAAGTCTACTTCAAAAGTAGACTTCAAACGAAGTCTACTTGGGTTAGTTTTGCGGTTGACCAAACATTGAATTTATTTTCGAGTAGACTTTTTTTGAAGTCTACTCAAAAAGTAGACTTCAAACGAAGTCTACTCGGAAAAGTAGACTTCAAGCGAAGTCTACTCAAAAAAGTCAACATTGGTCAATTGCAAAACTAACCTCTAAGAAGTCTACTTTCAAAGTAGACTTCTCCGAAGAAGTCTACTTTTGCGATTAGACTTCTTACGTAAAAGTCAAACGTTGGTCAATTGCAAAACTAACCCCTTTTTACGTAGACTTCTTTTGAAGTTTACACTATTTTTTTTTGTTGTCAAAGGAAATGGCGCAGACTTCAACTGAAGTCTACTGTCAGAAATTGGTACACCCGGTCAATTGCAAAACTAACCTGTGTGTTGACCAGCAGACTTCTTTTGAAGTCTACTACCGACAGTAGACTTCTTAAGAAGTCTACTTTCGCGGCACAGATCTGAAAACTCACGAAAATTGACTGAAAAATCACCTACCAGTGATATTTAACTTATTCAACCACCGATTTCTTTGATTCCAGCCACCACCAAACAAGCCCAAACGATTTGCCAGACCAAATCACCAAATATGGCAATATATTAAAACATCAAGTTTCAAAAATTAAGATTAGAGAGTTTTTGTGCTGAAAATAGTGAAAAAATGGAAGAATAGAAGATTAAGAGAAGAGGAAATGAGGTTACAAAGCTAAAAAATGGGTCTTTGAAGCAATAAAAGCTTCAAATTGGTTGAAAATGGTGGTTGAATGAATTGATGGTGATGGCATTTTCGTGAATAAGTGAGGAAGATGAGGATTATTTGGTAAAATAGATTTCCAAAATAATAATAAAAAACAATAATCTAATGGCATTTTCGTGAATAAATAGAACTGGTAAGGATATAAGTGAGATAAAGTGGTTAATTTCAAAAGTGGTAAAATGAGAGGTTAGTTTAGCAATTGACTTGAATTTATGGGTCATTTTTGCAAGATTCCCTTCTATCTAACCATATCATGTACACAATATTTAATTTTTAAATTATTTTATATTATAATTAAATGACACTTTATTTTAAAAAATTATATTATCAATACCATAGCATAATTTTATATATAATTATTATAAAATCAATTGTATTATATTATATGATTTAAAAATTATACTAATTTAAATAAATAATAATTACTTCAATTCGCATTTGTGAAAGTTATTATCTAGTAATTAATTTAATGATACTCTTGCTGGTTAACCTAAACTGGAACTAATGTGACCTTAGGTCAACCGAAAGTAACAACATGAGTCCAAGGGAGCAACAAACATGATGAAGTCGTATATCTGCCATAAACCACTATGTAATATCCATGTTCTAATTAATATATTTATAGTATAAAATTGATGAAAAACTCACTAAAGTTTACGAGTGAAAATCTTACATTTATTTGTCCAAATTTTATTTGCCATCGCATGAATGAGTCCTCTAAATAGACCGTATGGTAACAATAGAACTGCTCAATCACATATTTTTTACTGGTTCCTAAGTCTTAGTTTCAGAACGTGGTTAGGAATATGTCTTTTATGGTCGTAGTGGTGGTCTGGCCGAGTGGTCCGACCGAGATTGGGAATGAAAGAGTTTGTCTATGCAGATCATGCAAAATATAAATGACCAATGACCATACGCTTCAATCGTAAGAAAAATAATTTTTATCTTTTTTATAATATTTATATTTTTAGTTTCATTAGTGGCGTTGCTAATTATATGCGATTATACGTTTGTTTGCACTGCTTTCTGCTTGTAGTTTCGCCATGGTAGAATTGTCCAGAATTCGTAAAGAAACTGAGTGTAATATATTTAGATATTTTTAAGGCACTATTCACTTCAGTACTGAATGAAAGAATTGTTTTTTCATCAGTTCAGTTTTTTAGAATAATATATATAAGTCTAGGAGATTACTTTTTTTTTGTTTTGTTTTTAACTGTGCTGACATATTTTGTGTATGAGTATCATATTTTTCTTATGATATATAATTATGTGGCATAAATAAATAATTTTCATTTTATTCAAGTGGTAATGAGGAAAATATTTTTATTGATACAGAAATGAAATTCACCAAATCAAGTGATCCCATTCAGTAAGATGGGATTTTGTTTTGGCAGCGCTTAAGGACTTAAACATCCTAGAAAAGTTCATAAATTGGATTTTTGAGTGCATCTCCACGCCACCATTCTCTGTTTGCGTTAATGGTCAATCTACAGGGTACTTTAAAAGTACAAGGGGGCTAAGGCAGAGAGATTCAATGTCTCCTTACCTGTTTGTTCTAGCAATGGAAGTGCTCTCGCGGCTTCTGAAACCGCGGTTCTCTTCCGGGTACATCAATTTTCATCCATCAATGGCAGAGGTAAACATACCCCACTTGATGTTTGCGGATGATGTCATAATTTTTTTTTTTATGGGAGTAGCTCTTCCCTTTATGTAATCAGCGAGACTTTGGATGATTTTGCCACCTGGTCTGGTCTCTCTATGAACCACGAAAAAACCCAGCTTTTCTTTGCAGACCTAAACCATATGGAATCAACTGCAATATCAAGCTACGACTTCCCAGTGGGTTCCTTTCCAACTCGTTACTTGGGTCTGTTGCTGATGCATTGAAAGCTAAGATTGGCAAAGTATGCACCTCTAATTGATAAGATTGCTAAGAGATTTTGTTCCTGGTTAGTGCGTCTGCTCTCTTTCGCAAAAAGGATACAATTAATCTCCTCGATTATCTCCGGTATAGCCGTCTTCTGGTTCACCACCTTCATCCTACCGCGCAGGTGTATTAGGAAAATTGAATCTCTATGCTTACGGTTCCTTTGGGCGGGGCAAATTGATGGTTCTTACTCCGCAAAAGTTTCCTGGTCTAAAGTTTGTCTCCCGAAGAAAGAGGGTGGTCTAGAACTTAGATGCTTCTCAATTTGGAACTCTACCTTATGCCTCAGGCTTATTTGGCTACTCTATTCAGAGAGTGGATCTCTCTGGGTGGCATGGCATCGGCACCATCATCTACGAACAAAAATCTTTTGGGCTGTTACGCAACAAGCGCATGACTCTTGGCATTGGAAATCTCTTTTTCACTTGTGCACTTTGGTAGAAAGGTTAATCAAATGTACTATTGAAATATTGAAAACAGAAGAACCGCAAGATTCTGATACGATTCTTGGATGCAATTAGGACCGCTTATTAAGTTCATTGGCAATGACGGTCCAAGGAGTCTATGTATCCCTTTGAACGCACTTGTGGGGGACGCTTCTGTGGGAAATGCTTGGAATTTAGCATCCCCGAGATCTGATGTGACCCTCCAGCTTCATGTTCTGAAGCTAACAGCCTACTCTAAAACAAAAGGAAAGAAATAAACATTGAAGCAATATGACCGTTGAAACTTTGGCCAAATAAAGAGAGTTTGATGGCATCTTTATATTTTGATATCTTGAGAATAATACCGTGATCCTTGAGTCTTCTAGAAGTCTCCTTGAACTCCACACATTCAGAATATAGCCGTTGAAACATAATAAGTGCTCTCGGGTCCATATATGGTAAGTTATGTCTCAGTATGATCTATTGTACTCTTGAGCTGACTACACATTTCCCTATGAGAGTAGACGTGCAAGAGTGTCTTCTGGTCGCACAATAACATTTGAAGTCGTCTGAACTGGGAAGGTTCCAAAATAAGGTAAGCGGGTGAGTTTCTAGTTTAGAAACTGTATACATTCCCAATTTAAACCGATCTTGGTATGAATCGAATTCTTTGTGTGCTTCTAATTGGTTAAGATTCCGGAGAAAGTCGGTTCATATCTTGATTCCTTTTGGTTTAGACGAAATCCTTTAAGTAACGCGCCTATGTCTAAATCGAGTAAGTTCGAGATCACCTGTTTTGAAAACTAAATAACTCTTTTGACTGAACTTTTATTGGGCTGATTCCACTTTAGCGTGAATCTCAGAAGAGCAAGTCTATGTAACTAGTCGATTTGTTGTTGATTTTTGTTTGTTGGTTCGGTATGCTCCATGAAAAGTACATACATACGTCATTATTGGATCAGCTATTGATTTGATAGCTGCATCATTACACTACCCACAATGAGAATATTGAATAATTTATTTAACAGTTTAATTCCTATAATAAGGCTGTTGAATTTTTTGAAACCATATATAGATTAAATTATGTTGAAAACACTCAACATGTTGAAACATGAAATAATAGATCCCATGAAATGTGGTGGCAAAATATGATATGATAAATTTAATAGATTTGTCACTTATACTACAATAAAATTATATTTTTTTAAAAAAATACGTGTAACTGTTCTATTAACTTTTCAAATTTTTGAGATTTTTATTTCATCCAAATTATTTAAACATTATTAAGTGATACTAAAACACTAAAAAACAAATTTAATCAAAATTTAGCATTTTTGTGCTCTATAAATAGAGACTAGTTTTAGTTTATTTGAACATAGAAAAAAATACAGAATTTTTCAATATAATTTTTTTATTTGCCTCTTATCAACTTTTTTTATATTTGAAATCTTTTTTTAGATCAAATAGATCCTAATAATAATCTTTTTAACATACAAAATATGATATTGATTATAGAGTAGTGTTGAATTTTATTAAACAAAGTATTGTACAGTATAAAAGTATTAAATAAATATGTAGAAGATAGAAAAGATAATGTAAAGTGTTAAAAAAGTAAAATGAAGGGTGTTAGGATGAAAACAAAACTATTGTAGATTTACTAACTATTTTCTCATTTTTTTTCTTTATTTTCTTAAAAGGTAACTTTTAGGCACTTCAAATTAACACCCATCAAATTCACTTCCAAAGCGTCTCTCATCTTCTCTCTCACTTGTCTCTTGTTTTTGCCACGTCAAACGTTTCCATTTTACTGCAAACGATTAACATTTCGGATGTATTAGATCAAGAGAAAATTTATAGGCGCTTCGTATTAAAAATTGTCTTGATGAAATGTTCCGAGATAATTTCACACCGCTGTATTTTTACATTTCCAGAAATTACTATCAGTTTTAATACATAGATTAATACTATCAGTCTCGCTTTAGGAGTTTTCATTTTGTCATCTTCTCACTCTGGCTTCCGGGCCAAGACAAAATACATTGGCGTAAAAATCCCTTTCCTGAATTCAAAAAGGAAATATTCGAATTTCTGTCAAGAAAAATGAATATGTGAGCATTATAAGGCAGTTGTGTGGAACGATGCCAATAACAAAAAAAATACATACTTTCCACCATTAACCAACCCATTTGCGGCTTTTTGTAGTATAGTTTGAATTCTTTGAGTTCCTTCAGGAACGACTCTTACGTATTCTAAGCCTTTTATCTACAACAAAACGAAAAAACAATCATGTCATGATCACACATATATACACAAATTTAGTAGATATTTCATGTTTAGTAGAACCACAAAACTTAAACTTCATAATCGATGTACATCCAAATTAGTGCATGTAATCAAGAGATAGAGGAAAACATGTTTTACCAGTGCATCAGTTACAAACTTTCCAACAGTTGTCACACGGAAACTGAGAAGCGATAAATTATTTGTATCCATAGGTAAGTACCATGGCACCGGCGAATCCTTAGCAAAATCCTTTTCCCATATCACCTTCATCAAAATAGGAAAGATATAATGTTAAGTACAGATTATAATTAATTAATATTTTATGAAATAGATAATGGGGAAGATGCAATATTTAGAATGTTTACGTCAAAACCCGCATTCTTCACAGCTTCGAGGCATTTAGTAGTAAGTCTTATGTCGGGGAGAGCATTTCCAAACTCTATCTCTGCTTTTATTTTCTGATGTTCGTCATTATTAGGGTCAAATGCATCGGTGAGGCACCACTCATATATAGCAAATTTTTGTCCGGGCTTTAACACTCTGTACATCTCTTTGTAGCATGCATACTATTGAGAGTAATAGTTAGGATCTATCAAAAGGATGCAATAGATAATACTGAAACTATTAACTTCAATTCACATACTGCATCCGGTGCATGGCAGGTTGCTTCTATCGCGTAAACCGCATCAAAACTATTGTCAGGGAATGGCATATTCATGAAGTCAGCCTGAATCATTTTATAAATGGTTTTAGTAGTTCAATTAAGTTTCTAGTTTAAACTAAGAAAAAAATAGTAATTTAATTCACCTTAACAACGTTACAAGTTTCATCCAGACCAGCAAGCTGGTTTAGTTTCTTGCCTCTTGTTACCTGGTATTCATTATTGTTGACTCCAGTAATGGAAACATTACTGCAGCAAGTCAATAAACACTATAAGTAGTTATTTGTTTCATCCTACGTCCTAATCTGCGTGACTCGGAGTTAGCCTTTAATTTAGTTTCCTTAGAAATATTTGTATTTAGTTTTAAAGGGGATTTGAACTAAAAACCTATTTTGTCAAAGAAACCACTAGACCACTTGGTATGACATATATGCCTTAGTTTACATTATTGCCTTGATCGAAGCGTTTGTCTGTTGTAATTTATAGATTAAAGTATTGTTTTATTTGTTACTCTTTGTTTTGGGTATTTATAATACATGACTTTTTAAGCATTGTTTTTACAAGAAAAAAAGAAATTAATCCAATGACAAGAACGGTAATGTTTTCTTTGTCTTGTAATTTTTTTTTTGCTACATTGCTTCTTGATAGCAGTGACCAATGGAATAAGAAAAAATAATAATTTTTTTTTTAATTTTTATCATTTATTAGCAATATTATTAACATATCATTTTTTCATTCCTTATAGTACAAGAAATTATAAAACAAAAGTATTTATTGTAAAATTTGAGGAGAGACAAGAAATATTTATTCATGTTCTTATACGTATTTCATTTCTATTTGTTTTTATTTTATTTTCATTCGTATTTTTTTTATAGTAGTCACCAATTAGAGTCGGTGTTTTCATCTTCTTTTTTTCTAAACAAGTCATCTGAATCATTTTAATATTTAATTATTATTTAGTTAGAAAGATTTTTTGTCTTTTTAAACAAAAATTAATATTTCTAAAAACAATTTCTTATTATTATATAGATCTACACTTTATTATTATATAGATCTACACTGTACTGATAAGCGAATATGCGATGACTGCTAGAGAAGTGACACCATGTATTGTTGCATATATAATGTTTTCTTCATTTATGATTAAGTCATTCAACGATTTACAAATCTTTGTTGTACAGATTGGTTATGTTTAACCCTTGAGTTCCCCAAAAAAGAGAGGGGCCTTCTCTTCCTTTTGTTTGTTGAAATATTGATGATATAGATATATCATCAATGCAAATCTTTAAACAAAAATTCAGTTTTAACCTTATTGTTATATTAGTATATTATTTAAAAAGAGAAAGTTTTTTGATGTATTTATGAGGGATATAAGAGACTTTTTTATTAAGTTTCTTAATTTGTGTGAAATTTTTAAAATAATACTGTTTATGAAATGAAATAGAATGAATATTATTTCAAATGAGATTTCACGCGATTTCATTCGGTTTTAAAACATAGTAATTTTAATAAAAGAAACATAAAAATTATGTATAATCGAATTATGCATTTTAAAACTAAGTTTCTTTTATTCTTGAATTTGATGATATTTAACAAAATGAAAAAAAAAGTTTAAAGAATGGAAATAAAAACACCTAAGATTTGTGCCATTGTCTTTTTACTACACAAATATCTAATTAAGGATTTCAAATTAATATTTTGTTTGTATCTCAATAAGTTAATTGTATAGAAGAAAAATTTACTATATATTTTTGATTCTTTAAATGAATAAAACATAATTGAAGTAACACAAAATTATGCTAACACACAATTCAATAAACAATGTATAGATAGATAGATATGATTATATATTCTAATTTACCTAAAGCGTGCAATTTCTCTCATTGGTCCACCAATTCCACATCCTACATCCAAGACCTATTCAATAAAAAAAGAAGGCTCTATATTAATAGTTTGAACTTATAGCATTCAATGATAAATTGAGGTCAATCACTAAACCAAACCTTGTATCTTGGTTTCATGGCAAGCTGCATGGCAAGGAAGTGCTCATATCGTTTTAAACTCTCCCGAAGAGATTCTTCTTTCCATCTACAAGTACGAACTCAATACATATATACTATCACCCGAAGAGAATAATTAATCACTAACTACCTGTGTGCAAAATGTAAGGAGTCCCCCCATCCGTACTCATAAAAGCGACTAGCAAGATCATAATATTTATTAACCTGAAAAACGTGTTACATTGAATATTAGGTCGATTATCCATTTCAACAAGCAGTGATATATGTGTTAAGTGAATTACTATAGTTTTCAATAATATAGCATTAGTGACGAGCACATTCAAAAACGAGAATTTCCAAGGAGATTCCAGTTTCCAAAATACAAAAGATAAATACACTAGGTCAAATATGGATAATATCTACCTCATATATAGTCAACTGTGAGATGAGACCCAACAAAACACGAAAAAGTCAACTGTATGAGACAAAACTTGCAAGTTTTCTGTTTACCATGTCGCTGTAGTTTCCTGCTCTCTCATCAGCTTCTCCACCATGGAGTATATGATATTTCTCATACCTGTATCATCGAATCATTAAAATTCAATGTCAAGGATTTAGCAAAATAATGCTATTTAGAGTAAATCGTAGAAAATAGACATATACCGAAAAAATCAAGCAAGAAAAGGTAAATGTATAATTACTTTTCAACGGCTGTGAGGACATTAGTCTCTCCACCTAGACCCGGTACGAGACCGAAAGCACCAGACTTAGACATTGTCAAGGATCTTGTAGAAGAAATTGGTAAAGCAGGAAGATGGAGATGGTGTGGAGAAATGGATGAAAATAATTTAAATTAAATAGGAGAGAAGATGTGAGATCAAACCTTCAAATATAAGTCTAATTTGTTAGCTACGTTTGTGACAACAAAAGCTGCGTGGGTTGAAGTTACTTCTCTTTCCCCTTAGATCGCGGAACACAATAAAGGTATGGAGATTTAGGGTATGCATGTGTAGGCAGGCTGTATATGTGATAATTAACGACGCAGAATTAGCGACGATGTTTTCAGGTTTCCTTTTTAATCTAATTTTTGTTAAGCTATTTTTTTTTTATGAATGGATATCTACCAATACTATAATTTCAGTTCTTTTGATTAGAACTTTCTTCTTATTAACGTAATATTATTTATAAGTGTTACCTGAGTGAGAGAAATAATCGATCAGTGTACTTATTTATAGAGAAAATGTTTTAATATGACCAAAAATAATAAAATAATGTGAAATAGGTAATGTAGAGAAGAAAAATTATGAAAATGACATCTTTTTATGATTTTTGTAAATATTAGCACTACTCTTCTAGTTACTGTTATTTATAGACTAATGTTAGACTAATGACATACTGAATGTAGACTACTGATATATTGATTGATCATACAATTGAATATAGATTACTGGCAAACTAATATAGACTAATTGCAAATTACTGGCAGACTAATGGCAAAACCACAGTAGTAGATTCCTCTTATTTATCATTTTAAGAAGAATCATGTTTCATAATAAATTGTCAAATAAATCTTTTCAAAAACTATCCCTTTATTATTTTTTATTTTTAATAGATTTGCATATGACAACAATTTATCCAATGTGTTGGGAAAAATTTTAATATCATTAAAAATTCTGGTTTTTTGCACTGATCATCGCTAAAACTAAAATCCAACAAAAAACTGATTTTGAAATGAACATTTATTATAACATTATACGAAAGAAAAACAAAAGTTTAGTCCACTAAATCAAAATTCAATTGGTATTATAGATGATACAACAAAAGCTTTCGCGAATTCAATTGTATTGGGATAGTTAGAGATTAACACATTTATATACTTTTCTTTTGTGCATATATTTCTTTCTTTCTTTAGGTTAAACATATGTAATCCGATATACGCTGTTGAGGCTGGTGAAATAAATAACTTCCGCAAACTCTTGACATGGTATAAGAGCCCTAGGTTTCTTTTTCGATCCTAGTCTCGCGGCGGCTATACTCTGTTCTTTTCTTCTAGTTCGTATCTTCTCTTTGTGTTCTATCCCAATAGATTCTGTTCTCTAGTTGGTTTTTCCTTGACGTTAAGATGGGTGATGATCATGGTTCGACAGGCAAATCCTCGACTGTGACGAGTGGTGGTAGAGAGAGTAGTGTACTCTCTGATTATTATCTCAATGCTTCTGCAAATCCAGGGAAATTGATTTGTACGGTGTTGTTTAATGAAAACAACTTTGAACGATGGACTAAACTTATGGGAAACGCTCTTAAAGCTAAAAACAAACTTGGCTTTATTGATGGTGTTGTGAAGTAACCAAAAGGTGGTGATGAACTCCGATTGTGGGGTATGGTGAATTCGATGATGGTGGCTTGGATTTTGAATGCAATTGAGCTAAAATTGTGTGGGAGCATTTCATGTGCTGATACAGCATATGAATTGTGGAAAGGTCTCCGTGATCGTTTCTCAGTTGGAAACGAACCTCGAATCTATGAGTTGAAAGCAGATGTTTCTTCATTGAAACAAGGAAATCTTTCTGTTCAAGATTACTTTGCAAGACTGAAGCTAATATGTGAAGATTTGGTAGTGTATGAACCTCTCACGGTCTGCTGCTGTGGTGATCATGCCTGCAAAGTTAACAGAGAACTTGCAGAAATACGTGAGAGAGAACAACGTTACCAGTTTCTCTCTGGTCTTGAAAATAAACGGTTTGGAACCACACGTTCAAATATCTTGTGTATGAATCCACCACCATCTCTCAACACAGCTTTTTCGATGGTGTTTCAAGAGGAATGACATCAACGAGTAGCTAGGGGTCATGACGTACGTGGTGATGTAGTTGGATTCTCTGCTCAAGCGCATGCTGCAACTTTGAACCAAAATCAATCACGTACGGTTATTACGTGTACTCACTGTGGGCGTACCGGTCATCCAGTTCGAGATTGCTATCAGTTACATGGTTTTCCAGATTCTCGAGCTGATGGAGGTGGCCGTGGAAGAGGTGGATACGGTTGTGGTGCTGCGAATGGTGACGGCGGCCGTGGACGTGGGCGCTGGAATAATACGAGCGTGCGTGGTAGAGGAGGCAGAGGAAGTGCCAACAATGTTTCTTTTCAGGGTAACTCAGCTGGTGGTTCTCAAATGGTCTCTAATGAAGATGGATATGGACTTACGCTGAATATGGAACAATGGGCAAATCTGGTCGAACTTCTCAACACTCCCAAACCACATGGGTCTGAACGTTTATCTGGTATGATTATTGACACTGGAGCTTCTCATCATCTTACAGGTCGGTTGGAGTTGTTATTTGACGTGTTTGATATATCTCCCTGTTCTATTGGACTCTCGAATGGTGATATGATCATGGCTACTCAATGTGAAAAGCTTAATCTTGGAGGATCAGTCACGATTTCATCTGTTTATTTTGTTCCTCAATTGACAAATACCTTATTGTCGGTGGCCAAGTTGGTTCACGAACGACCATGTATTGCAGTATTGACTGATAAATTTTGTTATTTGCAGGACCATGTATGAGGATCCTGATTGGAGCGGGTGAAGAGTGTGATGAAATCTACTATTTTCGAGAAGTTTTTCGAGTTCAGTCAAATCTTGCAAGTGCTGTTAGTGGTCGTGATTTATGGCATCGTCTTCTTGGTCATCCGGCAAAGTCTGTGCTTTCTAGTTTATCGAGTTTTGTGTATTTAGGAGATGTTAGTCAAGAAACGAGTGATCTTTGTGACTTCTGTGTTCGGGCTAAACAACCTCGGTTTTCATTTACTGATAGTAATAATAAAGCTGATGCAATTTTCATCTTATTCATTGCGACATTTGGGATCCGTATAATACACCAGCAAAGTGTGGATCTGTTTATTTTCTCACTGTGGTTAACGATTGTTCACGAGCTGTTTGGGTCTTTCTGATGAGTTTTAAGAGTGAGGTTGCAATGCATATGCAGAATTTTTGTGCTATGGTGGTACGACAATTTGATACTAATGTGCGTACGGTTCGCAGTGATAACGGAATGGAGTTTATGTGCCTTAAATCGTACTTTGCATCACAGGGAATTCAACACCAAACATCATGTGTTGGAACACCGCAGCAAAATGGTCGTGTGGAATGTAAACATAGACATATTATGAATGTGGCTCATTCTCTGCGATTTCAGGCATCTTTACCAATTGAATTTTGGGGTGATTGTGTCCTCACTGCTAGTTACTTAATTAACCGGACACCATCATTGATCTTGGCAGGGAAAACTCCATATGAGGTGCTGTTTGGGAAACCAGCGTTGTATAAGCACATGCGCATTTTTGGCTCTTTGTGTTATGCTCAAGGGTACTCGTTTGAGAGACAAGTTTGATGAAAAGGGTAGCGAGTGTATGATCTTGATGAGTGTTTCTTGGGTATCCATATGTGTACTCGTTTGAGCAACAAGATGTGTGTTTCTTGGGTATCCATATAATCAAAAAGGGTGGCGAGTGTATGATCTTGATCGTAATGAGTATTTTGTTTCTCGTGATGTGGTTTTCAACGAGAATGTTTACCCTTTGCAACGGCTCCTCCCATGACGGACACTACACCACCTATTGCCTCTCCACTTATTGTCGATGATGATGTAGTGAATGTTCACGATGATAATAATTTAAGGGGGGACAAATATTTACTTATATCACCGGATGCTTTGGAATGGGGAAGCGACTCACGTGTAATACCGGATATTCCGACCAGGGAGAGCATTTCTCCTTCTACTCCATTGTTATTAGTAAGATCTGAGACAGTTTGCGTGTCACCTACATCTGAATCTGTGACAATAAAACCTGTGCAAGTTGAAACGAAGACAGCCTCTTTACCAGTTCTGGAGACAGTTTTGGGTCGGGGTCATCGTGAGAAACTTAAGTCAGTTCTTTTGGAGCCTTATGTTACATACTCTGCCAAGTGTTCGGCTGCACCATCACACTCACAATCACACTCTTCGCTCCAATCTGCTCGCGCTCCTCCAGGTAAACCATATCCTCTAGCTAACTATGTATCTTGTGTACGCTTCTCTGCCAACTATCAGTGTTTTGTTGCAAAGATTACTGCGACTGAACCACGATCATTCGAAGAAGCTATGAAATATGTTGAATAGAGACAAGCTATGGTGGCAGAGATTAAAGCACTTGAGGATAATAAGACTTGGGATTTGGTGGATTTGCCGTATGATAAGAAAGCAATTGGATGTAAATGGGTTTTTACTATCAAATACAACGCTGATGGTTCAATTGAACGTTGTAAAGCAAGACTTGTGGCCATGGGAAATCGCCAGAAAGAGGCCATTGACTATGACGAAACCTTTGCGCCAGTCTCTAAAATGACTACTGTTCGTTGTTTCTTAAAGATTGCTGCTGTTAGAAAGTGGGAGCTTCAGCAAATGGATGTTCATAACACGTTTTTACATGGAACACTGACTGAAGAGGTTTATATGCGTACACCACAAGAGTTTTCGTCGTCGTCTCCTAAAGTGTGTCGTCTTTTAAAGTCATTATATGGCTTGAAGCAGGCACCTCGATGTTGGTTTGCTACTCTTCATGGTGCTTTGCTACGGTATGGATTTACTCAATCTATCTCAGATCCTGCCTTGTTCTCCTTTGTTCGTAATGGTACTGATCTCTACATTCTGGTATATGTTGACGATCTCGTGATTGGTGGTAACGACTTATCCACAATCAATTGTTTCAAGGATTACCTCAAGAGTTGTTTTCATATGAAGGATTTGGGTCAAGTTCGTTATTTTCTAGGTATTGAAATCGCAAGGAATGGTGAGGGAATCTTCTTGTGTCAGAGGGAATATTGTTTGGATATTATC